GAAAGTTTCATAAAAATCTATCCAGTGATTCATGAGATATTTCGCTAACAGACCGAAGTACAAACAAGACCTTTAACACACAAGCCAACACATTGTTTGCCAGCCTTTCACCTCTCAACAGCAAGTGATAAAAGATTGATCTGTTAAGATACGGTGTCTTTGTTTTATTTGTTTATTATTTTTGTTTTTATTTTTCAGTATGGCAGCTGCATGCAAGGCCCATCAGGCACCCCTGGCAGAGATGGTAACCCTGGAGCCAACGGCATTCCAGGGACTCCAGGTATCCCGGGCCGTGATGGGCTGAAAGGTGAAAAAGGAGAATGTGTCAGCGAGATTTTCGAGGAGCCGTGGAAACCCAACTACAAGCAGTGTGCCTGGAGCGCCCTGAATTATGGGATCGACCTGGGTAAAGTGGCTGTGAGTATCTCCACGGGCCTCCCAGTCCATGCAGACCCACATACATGTTCCACACCTGCACACAACTGACCCCATGCTGTGTCTCAGGACTGCACGTTCACCAAGCTGCGCTCAGACAGCGCTCTCAGAGTCCTCTTCAGCGGCTCGCTGCGACTCAAGTGCAAGAACGCATGCTGCCAGAGGTGGTACTTCACCTTTAACGGAGCAGAGTGCACCGGACCCCTGCCTGTAGAGTCCATCATTTACCTCGACCAGGGCAGTCCAGAACTCAACTCAACCATCAACATCCACAGGACGTCCTCAGGTATGATCAAAATCTACCAGTTTATCGTGCTGTCGCTTTTCTGAACCACCAACGCATTTAAAAATGATCGGATGCAATAATGTAACACGGCTCTAAAGGAATATGATTTGAGGAAATCTGAGACTGTAGAGTTACACAGCCTTAAATATGGAGACAACCAAAAAAAGAAGTACAAAATATTCCAAAGGTCAACACGGGGGTGGAAGGATCTTAACTGGGATCTCATCTGATGTGTCTGTGCTTCAACTGCTTAAAGTTGAATAAAGAAAAAGCCTTTTTTAACCACATAAATCTTGTGAAATGCTAGATGAAACAATATACATGAATAATGCATACAGGATATAATCTGAATTATTCAGCTGGAGGTGGAATGTGCAACAGCAGATGCCAGATTCACTCATCTAGTCAAGTCAAGTCAAATTTATTTATAAAGCTCTTTTGAAACAGCAGCTGTTACCAAAGTGCTTAACGATAACCTCAAGGCAGTAATTAAAGAAAATAATAATAATAACAAGATGTAATTAAAAGTATCAAAAATAAAAACACAAAAACAATGAGAAACGATAAAATACTAAATCAGATCAGATTGTGTTAAACGTCAGTGAATACATGTGTGTTTTTAGGAAATTTAAAAACAGGAAGTGAAGTGGCCTGTCTAATGTTGGGGGGCAGATTGTTCCTGTTTGGGGCCCATGACTGAAAAAGCTCGATCTCCTCTGAGCTTCAACCAAAAGCAGCTGGTCTGATGATCTCAGCGCCCGAGAAGGAACATAAAGTTGAAGTAGATCAGAGAGATATGCGAGTGCAAGGTCATTTAGGCACTTAAAGGTCAACAGGGGAATTTAAAAATCAATTTTAATACGTACAGGGAGCCAGTGAAGGGAGGACAAAACTGGTGAAATATGATCAAACCTATGAGTTCCTGTGAAGAGCCGAGCTGCAGCATTTTGGACAAGCTGGAGACATGAAAGGGACACCTGACACAATGACTTCAGTTGCTTGATCGTTGCAACCTAAAAATTTGAAACCATCAATGCCTTAATGTCATCAAGACATTTTAACAGAGGGTGAACGAAGCAAGAAGTATTTGGCTTTAAGCATTTTCAGCATAGCAATGAAACGAAAGACTATGTTTCCTCAGACCTCAAGGGTGGCAGATACAATGAAAACACAAGGGGTCTAAGAATAGAGCCTTGCGAGACCCCACAGGAAAGAGGCACAGAAGCAGATAAACTATTACAAACATTAACACAAAAACTCTTTGTTTTTGAGCTAGATCGACAGTAGTCAAAATAAGAACAACAAAAAAAATGCCTCTGCATACTGCCTGTCACCTTCTTTCTGCTAGACGTTTTACACTAAGATCATCTCATGATGAGAGGGGAGGAAGTTCTAGCTGCTCTGGTCAGTTTGTGTGCAGTCTAACACAATACTGTGAGATCTCACATCATCTGCTAGTGCTCAGATTATATGTTGAAGATGACTCAGCTACAGCCACCCCAAATTTTAGCTCAGTATTTGGAAAAAAAGGTGCTAAGAGTGGGGGGGGGGGGGATTTGTTTGAATTTCTCAGGTTTGTTCATTAGCGTGATATTGACAGACGGATTGGTGCAGCTTCTGCAGTATTGTGTACACTGTGCCGGTCTGTTGTGGTGAAGAGGGAGCAGAGCTGCAAGGCGAAGCTGTTTATCTACATTCCTACGCTCATTTATGGCCACAACCGACCGAAACAGTGAAATTGCAGATACAAGCAAATAAATTTAGGTTTTCTTCTCAGTGTAGCTGGACCGTCCTTTAGAGAGGGTGAGAAGTTATCTGGGAGAGACTCGGAGTAAACCACTGCTCCTCCTCATTGAGAGGCGCCAGTTGATTTGAGCATCTGGTAAGGATGCTCCCTGGACCTCCTTAAAGGAGGCGTTACAGACATGTCAAATCTGACTGGCTGGCCAAGAAGGAGTCCAGAGTGGAAATAAGAAAATATTTGGTTGACTTACCTCAACCATTCACACCAGGTGTATTGTACATTTATATAGACAACTGAAGTACTGCATTTTAAATCCAAAGAAAGGTTTGACAACAAAACTGGACTTTTATTCTGTAGCTGAAGACATTTGGATTTTCATCCGAGGAATTACATTTTTTATTGATAAATCCTCTTGGATGGAAAGCAAAACATCTTCAGCTGCAGAATAGAAGTCCAGTTTGTTTTTTTATAACCATTTTTGAATTTACCATGTCCTACATGACTGAGTCTTCACCACGGTGTTATTTTAATGCCAACAACAATCCAGGAACTCTGAAACACTGTTCTCCTGCTGCTCCTAAATCCAAGTGATCACTCAAACACTGCACAAGAGTTTACAGGTACTGTTCGAGTGCCATCAGCTTCAACACAACGTGTTGACCTGTTTGTGACTCTTAAGAACCCAAAGTTCTACCAGTTCACACATAGAACCAGGTAATTAATGTTCGTTTCATCCTGCATTCTTAGAAACGGCTCGATACAGAAATGTGCTCAATCTGAAAGATTGTTGCCATTCTTCTCCATGATCAGTGGAAACGTTAGTTGGCAGCTAAACCTAAGGACTGGAAATGAATCAAACTGAAGCAAACGGAACTGACAAACCCTGTAAACAGAAGAGCGTCTCACTTTGTCCAAGGGGGACATTTTGGTATTGGCAAAAAATATCTAATTAATTACTGGACAAAATTTGAATAACCACTGGGCACTTAACTTTACGGATACAACTTGAAATAAGGTGTGGTAGTAGATTAGAGCAATGGTTCCCAACACTGGTCCTTGAGGAACACCATCCTGAATGTTTCAGTTGTTTCTCTGCTCCAACACACCTGATTCAGTGATTTACAGTAATTACTTTAAGTTCTGCTGAAGCCACCTGTTCACCCAAATCAGGTGTCAAAGCAAGAAAACAAAATGCGCACAATGGTGTTCCTCAAGGACCGGGGTTGGGAACCATTGGCTTAAGAGTGATCTCAAACACATGAGCCCCAACACATTTCAAAAGCTTTTTTTTTTAAATGCCATGTTTTGTGTCCTCCTGTCCAGTTGAAGGTCTGTGTGAGGGCATCAAAGCGGGGCTGGTGGATGTGGCCGTGTGGGTGGGGACCTGCGCAGACTATCCCAGAGGCGACGCATCTACAGGCTGGAACTCTGTCTCCAGGATTATCATCGAGGAGCTGCCTAAATAAGAGACAAAGTTACATGAGAGGAGGTGTCCAGTCCTTGTAGCGTTCTGTTATCTGGCCCTCCCAAACGATCAGGTTCTGCTTTCTGAGGCGTCGCAGCTTCACTGATTGTAACTTGAATGTTTTCGTTTAACTTCCAGCTGACGAGCCCGTAAACAAACAAAAGTGTGGTTCTGTCTGCTAGAAACACTCTGTACTGTAGCCGAGTCTGCTGGTGGCTAACAGCCATTAACATTTACAGTGTTTATACTCCATGTTGTGTGTTTTTACAATTATTACTGTCAATAAAGACCTTTTTTAAAAAGATTTGAACTCTAAAAGATACTCCTGCTTGTTACGGTTTACAGATCTACAGACCACACATTCACAATATCTAAATAACATTTAATGTGCTTACATATCGAGCTAAATAAACTTCTTTTATTAAAAACTGTTTTAAAAAGGACATAATTTAGAGCAAAACCATTTGAAAGAATGGATGTGTTTTAAACAAAAACCACCATCACTGCTGCCTTTCACAACAGACTAGTGTAAAAGAAACTAATATGAACACGTGCAACAAGAGACCTGAGAACATCGTCGCGTCAACAAAACGATTTTAAATATTCCACGGTTTGTTTTTTCTCTTTCTGCTGCCAAGAAACATTGTAAACAACTGCCGCACTGTCCAACCTGTATCTGTGCGTTTCAATCACAGGCTCATGATTCACAAATAATATACATTTTAAACTTAAATAAAAACTAATCCAGCTGTTGGTTGGTCGTTTGTTTCACTTGGCAGCGTCCCTCCTCCTCTTCTCCACAAACCCAACAGCCAAACAGGAACAGTCCCTGCTTTGTCTCCACGTGGCTCCATGTCAGCGTGAGTCCACGACGGGGTTTATTTAGTCCCCAGGAGGAAGCGGGACACGTTCTCGTAAACCACAAAGGTGATGCAGCAGGCAGGGGTGACGCGGATCAAGTTGGGAACGATGCCTTTGTAGAAACCTTTGGCGCCTTCGTTCCTGCAGAGAAAGTCGGGAGATTCAATCCAACCGGACTCGGAACACACATTCACTCTTCCTACTAAAAGTACAGGAAGAGTGAGCTCAGTTCCTTTACTTTGTAGACTGAAAACATCTGGGTTTGACGTCAATAGATAAACGAGAGAGCAACAGTTAAGCTTTTACTTCCAGGTGTTCACATCTGGATCAGATAATACAGCTTAGAAGACGGCATTAACAGCTCAAGTCAATCAGTGCACAACATTTACGTGTTGAATAAATGAATACATTTTATTCATCAAACTTCATCACAAACAATTTATTCAAGGACGTATTTCTATATAATTATTCATTTCAATAAATATATCGGCCTAGCCATTCTAATCTTGTTAGTTAAATAATCTTAAGCATGTTCTTAAGAAAAAGGAAGTTGAATTTTTGAACTTGCTGTTCTTTATGAATGAAGACTTGGTGAGAGCAGTTTGATTATCTTTTTATAACTTTATTTGTTGGATTGTTTTATTTTAAGCAGAGAAATAAATAAATCATGCTTAAATCTGCAAGTCTGAGTTAACAAGGACACGTTCGAACTATTGTTGTAGTGCCTTTAATTTCTTCCTGGAGTTTTAGGCTTTGTCAAGTCGGGCTAAAAGAAGAAAGCTGTACTTTATGAAACTTGCTTCGCAGTGTACCCCTCAGTGACGGAGTACTCAGCCATGCTGTGAGCGGCTCAGCATCGTACCTCCACGTCCGACTCATGACGTCCACAACTCCGTTGTATTTGTTGTGCTGGTCTTGCAAGCGAACTCGAACCACCTGATATGGGTACGTTGTGGCCACAGCAAACAGTTTGGATAATGCTGCCATCGTGATGTATTCCAGAGTGTTCTGTTTATAAAACACAAATGGAGACAAAGGGTGAGCAGAGCAGGAAAACTGACCGTTGACTTACGGGCTCCCCTCTTTAAGCTTTCACTCACCAACTTTGTATCTGTGGGAACATTTTTGTACTTGCTGTAGGTTCTTTTCAGCTCTTCGTAGGCCATGAACTGCAGCGCTCCATGTGAGGTACCAAACAGACCGGGAACAAAACCCTTTAACACACATATTCAGCAAGTTATTCTCTGAACAAACAAAGAATGCACCAGCACAGCTACAAAAGTTAAATGACTACTGGTGCCCTCTAGTGGCCAGTGATGGTATAATGCTAAAATAAATTCCAAGTGGAACTTGGACAGAAGCAGAGCAGCATTATTGCTTATTGTTTAACCTTTAGCTAACATAACCTTCATTAAAGCACTGAGCCCCAGAACAAACTGAAGTGTCACCCTGTACAGTCCTGGGACGCCCTCATTGCGGTAGATCTTAACCAGAGCGTCCACCATCCCCTTGTACTGCTTACTGGTTTGGTCAGAGTTGTATTGCAGAACAATCTGGGTTTTAGTGACCCAGATCGGGTTGGTTATAATAAGAGTCAGGATACCTGTGGAGAAGGAGCAGGAATCAAGTCACTGTGAAGTTCAGACAATCGGTTGAAGCAGTTCATTAGGTACACTTTAGTGTTGACACAGGTAGCTCGCTGAGCAAACTCTTATATTAATTTATATGTTTTGTCAAACATAACAGTGTTTTCAAGAGGTGAAAGGTGAATTAAGCTTATAGAAAGGACCCAAGGCCTCCGTGTTACACTTGCTCTTTCTGCAAATATTAAAACACAAATAAATAGCTGACAAGGTCTGTCGATGTTAATTTGATTTATATAGCACATTTAAAAACAACAACGCTGACCAAAGTCCTTCTGTGATGGATTTATTTTGTGTGTTTGGACTTTGTTTCCATTTTATTATCTCTTAATACAAATTAAGAAGCTAAACATGGAGGCGCATCAGGTAAGTACAGTAGGTGTTGAAAAACCAACAACTCTGATCTGTTCCGAGTGGTGAAATTAGACAAATAGCATCAAAAAGTCAAAAATCACAAAGTCAATTAACTGAAATCCTTGTTTATACATTTGTAGTATTATATAATAAATAGTCCCCCCCATTTCTTTCAGCGGCTCCCTCCTTCAGGGGTCACCACAGTGAACTAAGTCGCACGAAGACCTGGCAATTATTTTTACACCAGATGCCCTCCCTGACACCACAGACCACCGAGCTACCACAGCCCTCGGTGTGGAGCAGAGAGCTGCTATCTAGGGCGCCTGGGGGAGCAGATGGTGGAGGTTAAGGGCCTTGCTCAAGGGTTCAGAGTGGGGCAAATGAGGGTGGAGGCAGGTGTGGGTGCTTCACTTTTCCCACCCACATTTTTGTTGTTGTCAGAACAGGGAGTTGAACCTACGATCTTCCGATCACAGACCCACCTTCTCCAACCTCTGCGCCACCACCACCCTATATTTAATAAATATAGGTTATAACTAATAAATAAGGTTGTGACAGCAATTACAGCTAGGATTACCGGTAAGCCGTTTCTTGTGCACCTGCAATTTGTGTAAAATGTACAAAAACCATTGAAGCATCATCGAGTCTCTTCAGAATAATGGGCCATTAGGACCAGAAAGACTACACTCTATTGTAGACTACTTGACAAATGAAATTTCAAAACTGTGACCCATCGATCTACTTTTAATACAGGGGACATCGTTGCACTTGGCATGTGTGAGCGTGTTAATAAGGTTTTTATCTTTTCTGCCTTCAGTTTCAGCAGAAATCCTTGAGGACGCTTCTTTAACTACCTACGCCTGTTTCCATGAACAGGAACCAGACTGATGTGAGCTGACCAGGGATGCTGTGCACACATCTGTATCAGCTCATACCTGCATTACCCTGCTGGTATTGGCTGTGTGCTGATGATATGGGGGGGGGGGGGGGGGGGTTGTCTGTTCAAACTGGACTGCAACAAACCTGCTTCGGCCGCTGACACCAGGTGTTCTCCTGCGCTCAGTTCATCCTGTCGCCCTTCCTTTGTGTAACCTTTGATCGCATTATAACTGTAAGGAAACATAAGGAGGCGTCACGCAGCACGGCACAGGAAAACGTCACCATTACTGTTGAACACATCCTCCATCACTTGTAGTGAAACAGGTGTACGTACAAGAAGAAGTAGAAACCCCAAGATGCTCCAGCACCCCAAACATTGGGCGTCACCCCCTGGTAAAGACCCCTCAGGCCCTCCTGGTGCCACACACTCTTCATGCAGTGAAGCATCCCACTGTACTTGGGTCTTAACTCCAGGCCATCACTTACTGTTAGAAGACACGTGATGTGTTTAGGCAGCAGAATAACACAAAGGACACGTGCATATTTAAAAACAACCGGAAGCTCATGTTATATAATGTTCCTAACAGCTTATTCCTACCTGCAAACCTGATCTTGACGAGATCGAGCGGGTGAAGCACCAGCGTGGACACGACCCCCCCGCTGAGTCCTGCCACCAGGTTTTCTACTTTCACATGGCTGAACACCTGCTGGACACTTCCGGCTACAGAGACTGCGGAGACCCGCTTCCTGGGCGGTCCGGTCTCGGTAACCGTCCCGTGGTTTGGAGCGGAGCTCATGATGACGTTAAACTCAGCGGAAGCTAGCCAAGTTTACAGCCGCGCGTGCTCAAAACGACCTTAATTTACTCTGAGGAACAGAGCCGACCTCTTAAAACTGCTGCAGCGCTTCAATAAAACAACGAGGCCATAAAGGGCGCTCATTTTTACTGCAGGCCAAGAACTGCACGGCGTTTTGACGCAGCACTCCCCAGATACGACAGGGTTTACCGTTAACAACTACAAGCACTCGCTCAGTGTTCTGCGCAGCCGCAGGAAGTTACTTCCTGTTTTTCATTTCCTGTTTGAATTTTCAAAATAAAACACGTCTTTGACAGCCCGCGAATTTTGTTGTTAAACAATAAAGTTTTCTAAGACTGCAAAAGAGTTTTTGATGATACATACAATATACTTCTTCATTTGTATTTATTTTTAGACACGGATACGTTTGTTGGTACCCTTGTAGCTTGTTGAAACAATGTTTAATTTCTCTTGAAAAGTAAAAGCATTGTCTATTTGCCTGAATATGCCTTTAGTGTGTGACAAAGTGAACAAAACAATGTGAAAATACATTATTTGTTGTTTATTTTACCAAGGTATGCTGAAATAGTCCAGACAGATTTATCCTTAATAATCCTTACCATGTTTCAAACTTTGACTCTATCATAGCCTTCAAGCTTCTCATCAGCCATTCATTTGATTTAAAGGTTGCAAACAGCCATTGGGTAGTTTTATGCTACTGTGTTCCCAACACTCAACATGGAGCAAAGAAAGCAAAGGCGAGAGCTGCGAGGAGCTCAGAAAGACCATCACAGTTAACCACGTTAAATTAAAGGCTACAAGACCATCTCATAAAAAAGGCTTCATAATCCTCTGACCACAGCTGCCAGTATCGTTTAAAGGTATAGGTTTCACTGGACTGTAGCCAACCTCCCAGCCCAGGACATGGATGCAAGAGATGTGACTTCAGGTTCAGGTTGATCAGACACACTGTACTGATGATAGATTTAAAAAAGCTACAGAAACCATGCACAACTATTCAAGCCGAACTACAAGGTAGAGCACTTGCAGATTGTACCACTTGTTTCATTTTGAGTCATTATGGGGCTCTATATAGAAGAAGACCCACATGGGGTGCCACTATTGACAGAAAAGTACAAAAAAAGCCAGACAGGAGGTAAGCAAAATGCATGTTGACAAGCTCCAAACTTTCTGGGAGAAGTTTCTGGGACTAATGAAGCCAATAAACTTGCACAAGATCAGTTGTGCATTTTCCAATTATTGTGGAAGGGTACCAATTTATCTGCATCTATATAAAGCCAAACCAAAAGCAACGTTATATTCTTTATTTGTCATATGCAGGTTGACACGAGGTCAACAACGCAATGAAATGTTCAGGATGAGAAAAACCGATTCGACTCATTAAAAACAAGCATACAATAAAAGTACAAAATAAAGTATCAAAAAGTGAAAAAGAAATATAATACTTACAAGGCCCAAAAGAAATAAACAAGAACATGGTAGAATATAACGATTCAAGTAGGACCTTGGATCATTCAACTCCTCCTGGCGTTTGCAAAGACATTTCCAGGCCAGAGAGGATCCTTCCAGCGAGTTCTGACTCTGCCTTGTTGTTTTCTCCCAGCAGGATGAATCTTTTGAAGGAGACATGCAAGAGGACATGCCCAAAACATTTTAGCTGTCTCCTTTTGATGAGGAGAGGAGACTCTGGCTCAGACTCATGATGATGAGCTTCTAACCTTATCTTAAAGTTGAGTCTGAGCACCCTACGAGGGAAGCTCGCCTCAGCCACTTGTGGTCGAAACAACCACACACCCATTCATTTTCTATATCCACTGTATCTTTCTGAATCACACAGAGCTAGTGTCTATATCCAGCAGTCACTGGAGGCGGTACACCATGGACAGGTCTCCAGTCCATCACTGGGACACATAGAGACAGACGAGACAAACACACATTCACACTCTCACTCATCTGGAGACAATTTAGAGTTACCAATCAGCCTAACATGCATGTTTTTGGTCTGAGGGAGGTAACTGAAGTAGGAGAAAAATCACACATGTAAGGAAAGATCATGCAATCTTCCACTAGAAAGATGTTTCGCTGTGTCGGTGATTCTGTGATCTTCTCCCTGAGAGGCAGCCATGCCCCTTAAAACAACCAAATTCAGTCAATTACAAAATATAATTTAATTTTAAAAAATCAAAGTCAACAAATTGCACTACATTCAAATTACAGCATGAAATAATTCATATTACTGTATTTTTTTTTATCGGTTTTTGCTTTGAATGCATTTTAATCAAAACATATTTATTTTTGCACATTGGAATAATTATCATAATAGTCATGTTTGTTTAGTCCTATGTGCCAGTATTTAAAGCCTGAGTTTTTTTCTCTGTTATGAACAGTGATATATTAGTATAAAATACTTTGCATACTGTCTAACAGTTACGTTTCAGTAGACCCTGAAAGAAAGTATTGTTTTGGTGAAGTTTCCGGTTTAACATTGTGCTAATATCGTAAACTTGACAGATGTGTTTTTTTTTTTTGGTGACGTAACGAGGAGGACCTGACATCCCACAATGCAACGCGGACTACTTCAACAACGCATGGCAGCGTTTTATGCTAACGTTATTCTCACAGAAGAAAAATAACAATTTCTCTCAGGTTTCTTCGTGTTGTTCTGCAACCAAATGAAAGTCAAAGTTCTTTCAAGAAATCCGGATGATTATGTCCGGGAGACTAAATACGACATTCAGCGGGGTAAGTGTTTTAATTTACTGCTCCGAGAGGGTAAACAACATTTTTAGCTACTTGAAAAAGATTTCCCGTTCCTCTGCTGGAGCAAGGACGATTAATAAGAACTTATACTCTACTCAAGTCACTCTAAAACATATACAGTAAAAAAAATATGAACATTTACTTTTTGTTAAAACTGACAAATACTAAGTTTTTAATCTCAATGGCAGAGTTGTAAATGTCAAGTTCTTGGTTTAGTGCGTTCCTCCTAATTAAAGTGAGTTATTCCTGAGTAATACGTTAAAAACATTATGAGATGACGTAAGGAGCCAGACATCTGAATGCTTGGACTCTTCTTTCAGAATTATGCCTTGATGCTTTCCTTTTTTATAGTTCCCAGAAACTACGACCCCTCCCTCCATCCTTTCGAGGTGAGCAGAGAGTACACACGAGCTCTGAATGCTACAAAGTTGGAGCGGGTGTTTGCCAAGCCTTTCCTGGCCTCCCTGGACGGCCATAGAGATGGGGTGAACTGCATGGCCAAGCACACCAAGAACCTCTCCACCCTGCTGTCAGGCTCCTGTGATGGAGAGGTACACTGCCGAGTGGAACAGTCGCTCAGAACAAAGACCTTAAAATGTATTTAGTTGTAATTTCTGTGGTCCTGAATCTGTTTCTGGATCTGAAGGTGAAAGTGTGGAACCTCACCAAGCACGAATGTGTCCGCACTCTGCAAGCACATGAAGGTTTTGTGAGGGGAATCATCGTCAGATACTGTGGGACCTCCTTTTTTACGGTAAACAATTTTGACGTCTAAGAAATTGTCCCCACATTCAATTTTTCAACTAATATTTCAACCTCATTCCAATGATCTAATGCCTTAGATAAAGTGATCAAGGGCTACAGTCACCGGCATAATAACATCCAGCATGTCTGATCTAAACAGGTGGGCGATGACAAAACGATTAAGCAGTGGAAAATGGAAGCACCGGGTTATGGAGAGGAAGAAGAGCCACTTATCACTATCCTGGGCAAAGTAAGATCAAGTCTGCTGTAATAAGTAAGGCTTTATACAATAATGACTTATCACTTCATGTAAGAGAATCTCTTGTAGACTGTGTTTACAGGACTGGACCATCACCAGAAGAAGGGTGTGTTTGCAACCTGTGGCCAGCAGGTGGACATCTGGGACGAGCAGAGGAGCAGTCCCATCCGCTCCTTTACCTGGGGTGTAGACAGCTTCAGTTCTGTCCGCTTCAACCCTGTGGAGGTACTGTACCCACCACACTCAGAGCAGGTCTTATTACTGCTCGTTACACAACCGTAAACTTATAAATAATGTTAATTATTGAGCTTTTTGTAAGCAAACATCCTGTCGATTCTTCACAAGGAGTTTGTTTCTCTGTTCACAGACAGATATTCTTGGGAGCTGCGCCTCAGACAGAAGTATAGTTTTGTATGACATGAGGGAATCAACACCGCTTAAAAAGGTAGTTTACTGCACAGCTCGTGCATTGATGTCGGGTTTTCTTCTTCTTTCTCTTGTTTTTTTCTTAAGAAGAAAGTGATAAGTGTATGTTGTCAATTTTCTTCTATAGGTTATCATGAGAATGAGGACCAACACATTGTGCTGGAACCCCATGGAAGCTTATCACTTTACTTGTGCAAATGAAGACTACAAGTGAGTCTTTGGAGGGAAATTTATTTTCAGCCATGTAACTAATTAAAAGCCTTCTTTATGTACATGTAGGCCTGTCACAATAACAAATTTTGCTGGGCGATTAATTGTCTCAGAAATTATTGCGATAAACGATAATATTGTTTGAAATTTGACAATAATTAATAATTATTGTCAAATTTAATAAGAAATGCTGGTTAATTTTTTTTTTGAGTGTAGTACCTTTTTTGACCACTGTATGACAGTATAAGACTGTTTGAACTGAAGGATGGATAGTGAGGGAGCGAGCAGCGTGTCTTCAGTAGAAAGAAAGAGACAAAGGAATGATTTCTGCACCACCTGGTGGTGGATGGGTTAAATGCAGAGACTAATTTCGCCATTGTATGGAAACATACTGTGATGACATTATTATTATTATTATTATTATAAAGCCGATAAATGAAAATGAGGTTGATAATTTTCATTTATCATGCAATTAATTGATTTGTTGTTTATATCAGAATCAGTTTATTATTGCCATGTCAATGAACGAGGTTCACAAACTAGGAATTTGCTTCGAAATAAGGTGCGAATAGTAGTAAAGTAAAATAAAGTAAAAATTAAGTAAAAATGAGAACATTACATAAGACATAAGCCTGTGTACACCCACAAATAAAGTAAAATTAAAACCATAACATAACCATATGTACACCCATACAATAGAAAATAATAAAAAAGCTTAGAAAACAGTACAGATGGAGTATTCAGGAATACTACAGTATTCAGTATATGGCAACAGGCCTATGTATATGGAGTAATGTTTAACCAAATGTACTGTAGCCTCCCGCCTTTAAACAGACATACACTTTCACTCTTTACTGGTTTGTTTTATTTGAGTCCGCTTTTCAAGTTGCAGATGTTTTTACCGTGTCATCAGAAGGACTAACATTGGTTTCTGTTTGCCTCATCAGCCTGTACACATATGACATGAGGAACCTTGAAAAGCCCACAAAGATACATATGGACCACGTCTCTGCAGTACTGGATGTTGATTACTCTCCCACCGGACAGGAGTTTGTGTCGGCCAGTTTTGACAAAACCATTCGCATCTTCCCCAAGAATCAAGGACGCAGCAGGTCAGTGACAGCCGACAAAAGTTAACAACCGCTTTGGGTAGAAATGGATTGCAATAAGGTCTGTTGTTAATTACACTTCTTAAAAAACAGTGAGTGGATGTAACGGCATGTCACCAGCATTTTAACCACAAACATATGTATTCTTTGTAAACCCATTATCAGGTATTTATTGCATAAGGCTGTTCAATTATGGAAATAATGATAATCACAATTATTTTGATCAATATTATAGTCATGAATATTTAAAACAATTATTCACTGAGTTTGAAATCACTGCATTTTTTTGCCCTCGAAGAGCAACGAGTTTCCTCGAATGTGAATATGTTCCTTTATACCGTCCTGAGGAGCCTTCACTTAAAATAACTGGAAAAGTACTATTCAGAAGTGGGCTACTGGGTAAAAGATAATCACAAATAAATAAAATCATCAATACAATGAAACTCCCAATATTTTATAGAGACGTGTGACTTTTAATTTTTTATTTCATGCTCTATGATTTAACCAAATTTTTTCCACCTATAATGTTGAGACATGCAGTGGATTCATCAATGGAAATGAGAACTGCTTTTCAGTTGACCTACCTGGTAAAATAAAGGTTATTGCTATTATTATTATTATTATTATTATTATTATTATTACAGTTTTACCAAAAAGGGAACAAAATAAAAAAATGTATAAATATTGTCAAAGGAAAAAGGAAACCAGTTCCAGTTCAGCAGAACTTCCAGTGCTTACAAATCTGTCTGTAGGGCCTAATTAATTTATAAATAAATATCAGTAATAAAAAAATTAATAAAACGTTCATGCCATGTTTGTTTCATATTGTTTCCTACATATAAAAACAAACTTTGTTGAAACCAAGTCTCTTGTCAATGAGTCCTCGAGGCTCAATGGGATTAACCTGCCTAAATAAAGGTTGAATGAATGAAAAAACGTGGAACTATAACTTCAAACATTGGTTTTCATCAGTGAACTTCTAAAGGCTATTTCAAGACTATGCATCTAGTAACAAATCAAAGGTTGTTCAAGTTCAAGAATCTTTTTTTTATTTTTATCCCCAACTTGTTTCAGTATGCACATAAAACATCCATACTAGACAAGACAGTGTTTTTCAAAGTGGGGGCGCTAGGGTAGCCTCAGAAAGCTGGAGAGAAGAAGATTTTTTTAAAAAGCAACAACAAAAAAATACAAAAAATAAGTTTACATTAAAATGTTAATTTAAAAAAAAATTACTATATTTTCAGTAATTATTTTAAAATATATTTAATAATATTAAAAAATTTTCCCCATGCTCATCTTTCTGATTGGCTGCCAGTCAAATGTATCAAGCTGCTTTACTCTTCAAGCACAGCAAGGATGAAATGGAGAAGTTTCTAAAAATATTGAAGGAACTGACCAGCAGCCCAGCTGTGGTGGAAACTGCTGCAAAAAATAAACAAACACCTCGTGGCCAGCTAAAATTTAAAGGTATGAGGAAGCATTCATTATGCTTTATGGTCATACAGAAAAATGGCCGTGATTGTCCAAAATGTGTCCTCTGTCTGGAGACATTCACTAACGAGTGTTTAAAACCTTCGAAACTTCAGCGCCACTTGAGTGGGAATATAATACATAATATAATATAATATATAATACAGTGTTTAAAACATGTTAATAACATTTTTATGCTCAGCAGCTGTAATAATTAATAGAATATAGTGAATAAAAGTTCAAACATTCTAAAAGTTGAAGTTTCTTTACATATTTTGTAGCATTGTTTGTGGGTTTGAGAGAGGGGCCTCGGCCAGAAGCTAATGCTGTTTGGGGGGGCCATGGCATGGAAACGTTTGGGAACTCCTGAGACAAGACGTTGAGACATTAAAATAACAGAAATCATCAATGTTCATGGAGAAGCTTGGTCACTACAGGGATGAATGAGTTTTTCAGTCTGTTCATTCTACATCTGGGCAGCAGATACCTGCATCCTGATGGAAGCAACCTGAACTCACCATGGAGTGGTGATCAGGATCTGCCAGAACCAGCCTGGCCTTGTTCTCTGACCTCACCTTGTGTAAGTCGGTGAGGTTCTGTTGCTGAGGTCGTTACTAAGCTTTATTACAAGATCAGTTGTAGTTGAGCTGTTCTGCTATGAGCGTTTTGGGGATAAGAAGAGACGTAAAAAACACACATGCCCACACACACTTCCACCATTGGTTAGAATTTAGTTAGAATTTGAGTACCATGTCAGAGGTTTAGTTTTGAGTTCATTTTTATTTCCTCTGTTCCAGCTATGAACACAAAGTGTTTTGATAAACATTAAATTGGATCTATGTTTGGAAGAGACCGGCCTTTTTGAAATGCATTGATTGTTCTTCTTAGTAAAAGTGTCATAATACTGAGATTTCAGTAGTAATACTACAGAAAATGCTATTTCTTTTTAACTGTGGGGGGGGAAAACTTAATCAAGAGGCTTAAAAATATAAACTATTTCATTTTTTACACTAACAACTCTTGTGTTCCTAAATAACACATTTAGAGAAACTATTTAAATTGAATAAAAAAAAAAACTCCACACATTTTTTTAAATTTATTTTTACTGTTCTACCTTCTAGTAAATGTTTCAGAATCATGATGTGCTTATGACTGAATGTCAAACTTCCTGCATATAAACAATAATGACCCCATTAGAAATAAATCAAAGTAATGTAATGTTGCAGAGCTATAAAGTAGGAGGTCAGACACCTAAACTTGTGTGGTTCTACGTACTTGTTTTATATCAGTAGACTCGTGATATATTCTATTAGAGCACTAAAGGGTGTCTGTTTTCAGTTAACAACATCTCAGGTAATCAGATTCAGTTTTGTTTTGAACCAGTTTGACATGACTGTCAACGAGAAAGAGGGTCAGCAACATAGGAGGGGGCGTGCCAAAGACACCATCTTAGCACCAACCTAACAGGTTTGTTCCACTTTGGAGTAAGCTGTTTGGGGGAAGAATCAGTTTTGTGTTGTGCGTTTCATTGACTGATGAAGTCTTCTGGATGGAAGGTGAAACGTTTCAGAAAAAACAAAAGAAACTGTCCAGATGACCTGACTGAAAATTGTTGGATTGTATACCTGGATTATTGAGCATGGACTTTTTTGGTTTCAGTTTAATGTTTTACCTCTTCAGTCTTTTCAAAAACTGGCTTAGTGTATAAATAGTGATACATTGTTGTTAACGTTGCATTTTTCTCTTAAATTCAGAGAAGTGTACCACACCAAACGCATGCAACACGTCATCTGCGTAAAATGGTCCGCAGACAACAAGTACATCCTGAGCGGCTCTGATGAAATGAACATCCGGCTGTGGAAGGCCAACGCAGCGGAGAAACTAGGAGTGGTGAGCGCCGTCTTGTTCCAGCTACACATTGTGTGTTTTTATGGTTTTATAGTAAATGCTGCTTCTTGGCAGCTGTCTGGGTAGTTTGTGATGGTGATGCTGATCATCAGATGCATTTTCCTGAGTTGTCAAATGTCGGATGTTTTTATGAGTCGGCTGCACAGCCTTGGCTCTTGGCCCACCTCAGCACTGTAACAGTGGGCCACTCTGCCAGGAGCTACAGCTCCACTGCTGCCAAATGCACTGATGGATGCTGACCGAGGCTACGATCACTCTCAATAAGTACGCTGGACAACCAATTGGCACGCCGACTCTTGTTGAAAAGGAAGTCCTGAAAAACTGAAGAAAAAAAAAAAAATCATTTGTCTTCTTTTTTTTTTTTTTTAAATCACCAAAAATTTCTGACAATTTATTTCGACATCTTCATGAGAGCTGTTATAACTGAACTGCATAACATCAGTGATGTCTCAGCTCTCGCGTGGAGCTTGTTGAAGCACCGGTCTCATCTAATTCATATAGATTATCTTGTGTGCCATCCCCAGCAGTCATTTTTCACTCTTACTCAGATTCCCTCCTGCTTATTCTCTTAATGCAGCTTCATAGTGGAAATGGCCTGCGTTTGGCACTTGTTTTTCTGTCACCGTGTAAAAGAAGATTTATTTGCAAGCTTTGCACTTAAATAGATCAGACAAGGGCTGCTCCTATCAGCAGTTTAAATCGGCCAATCACTTAAACGGAGCCCACTTTGAACATAATGGCGCATTAAGAATCGAGTTATACTGAGAGGGGTTTTAATTATAAAGAAATGCTGAATCAAGTCTTGGTGTGAGTCTAAAGGCTGGACGGACTGGGACTCATCTGACTGTTGCTATACTGTTTTTTTCCACATCTTTCAAAACCATTTAAGTTGGTTCCTTCTGTATTTAAAACAAAGACTCAGAATATGTATATTTATGTCCAGCTCTGCTGATTTACTTCTGGAAACTGCCTCATCCTGCTGCTGTGTGCTATTTTGGGTCTGCGCCATCAAAAAGTGGTCTTCACCAGATTTTTTCCCCCAATCCAAAACCACCTGTAGACATGTTTGTGATATTTATTGCCTGTTGTCAAAAAGTGAAATGTGGACAATAATGTCCTTTATTATTACGACACAAGGATTTATCGCTGTTACTAAAATGTCTCGTGACCTGCAGGAGTTTTAATGAAACTTTCAAACAATAATCATTGGACAGTGTTTCCCCCATCATTATACAAACGGGGTGCCCCGCCCCGTCTACCGAGCCCCGCAAACACACACACCTGTCGGCACTGACATAGTGCTGAGCTAGCGGCCTGCAATACAGGTGCGCTAGCTAAAAAGCTAAAGGCAGCCTCTTCCCTCACGCTGAACCCCCCCCACTCCAAAAGTGTCGGTGTAAGCAGCGCGCTACGCAGCTCAGGACATGTCTCTGTCCATCCCCAGCCCAGTCGACAAAAATCACGGACGAGCCGAGCGCCCCGCCATGTCAAGTTATAGAAACACTGTTGGATGAACGTCTGTAAACAATAATGTTTGTAGTGAACACAATTCAAAATGGCTGCCACAGCTATTCATCATTTGCTTTACCCGCTTCTTCCTTTTTGGGTCACTGGTGCCCATATCCAGCAGTCACTGTGTCCATCACAGGGACACATAGAGACAAACAACCATTCACTGTCTCACTCACACCTAGAGACACTTTAGAGCCGCCGACTTTAAAACCACAAAAAAATGGTTATAATTCAGTTGATTTCAAAGAAACTGACCCAAAATTTGATACATCATTACCTGAGACCCAACAGTCATTCTGAGCCTGAACAGATCGTAAGATCTTTGTTTAAAATGTTGTTGTTATCCTATCATCATCATCTCATTACTCTAATAAGCCATTCTGAGGATACGAGATTTTTCAACCCAGTTTTACTCCTTGCAAGTGGGGGGGAGCAGAGTTAACACACAGGCTTACACAGATGAGATGTTACATGAAGCTCCAGTTGTAAGGTCTGCTCCACAGACAGTAGAAAGAAGAGTCTTTTTAAAATGCTCATCAGGCAGAGACGAGGTCCAAACATCTGCTTTCCAGCTGTGAGGCCTTGGAGTTCATCAGGTGTGCAGGCTCCTCTCTGTTCAGACAAAACAACTCGTACTCACACACATTAATTTAACATTAGTAAGTGAGTACATCCATGACCTTTACATAAATTCCCCTGACAATACTGTATTTAAATTAGGTACATGCACTGAGCATGATATGTTGTAGTACCGCTTGAGTTTGGGTTCCACTCTGTCAAATATCCATGAAAGATAATTGGTCTCAAACTGAGGCATGGAAGGTGGCAAGCCAAGTCCTTTGAGGGTTGCCAGGCCTTTATTCCAATTGTTTTTTTTTTTTTTAAAGTATGTTTTCAGTTTTTGCAGCTTTTTATGGATCAAACTCTTTCCTTACAAACTCAGTTTCTGCTGTCTCATATTCGTGTTGGGTTGAGTTTGTTCAAACAACGGTGGCATCCAAGGGGAATTAGTTTAGTACAACAGGATCAGCATCTAGCAGCACATGTCCAACAAATTCAGTTTGAGACAAATCATTGCTTTTCATTAGAATAAAAGCCTCAGAGGAGAGCAGTCCAAGAAAGACCAGTCCCCACCAGTGGGAGGGGTGCTGCTGCTTCTACTTTTTGACATTGATTTGTTTTAAATGACTTATGTTGTCAAGCTAAACTCACTGCATACTGTTCAACTTTTAATGATGAACCAAATACTGCTTGAGTTGAGCAGTAGAGCTTTCCTGGATTCATGTCATACCTGAGTGTGGAGCCTCTACCCCCCACCACCCTCCCAGGCCACACTGCTAATACTACTGAAGCCGGAGCTGGTGGAAAAGCTGCAAGATTAATTACAAGTTAGTTTTTCAAGACCACTGAGCCATATGTGGGGATGAATTCAGCAAATCAGAGCCAGCATGGACCATTCTTCTTTGTGCAGCTGGGAGAAACCTGCTGTTCTCGCACGCATGTATAAAATGGCTTACATTTACACTCATGACTTCTGCTTCAGAGGACATGAACTGAAATGTTTTCTTGCTGCAGTAGATGTGCTGAGATGAGAAACTAATGCCAGCCAGTTGCTTGCAGCTACAGACAGTCCGACCGAAGCTGTTTCAAATAAAGCTCCCAAAAAAGTTGTTGGCATCTAAAGTCCACCAGCACTCCACGTAGTCTTTAAACACCTCACACATCAAGATGTTCTCTAATCTCATCACAGCGTCTGTTTGGTAGCTGCAGCTTTTGATCACAGCATATGATCACCTTCAGAAGATTAACTTCTATTACAAAATGTCAGAAAAGTAGATTTTTTTTTACCAAGGCTGACATATTTTGACCCTATGAAATCTTTTTTTTCCCCTTAGTTTTAATTCAGTTCAGTTTATTTATATAGCACCAAGTCACAACAGAAGTTGTCTCAGGGCACTGAACAGAAACATTCATATATTATAAAAGACAATTAGTAAAAGTTCTCTTATCTAAGGAAGCAGCAGATTGACTTGAAGCTTCACTTTGTCACAGTCTCCCATCCTGAGCAAGCAGAAAGGCAACAGTGGAAAGGAAAAACTCTTTTAACAGGAAGAAACCTCCAGCAGAACCAGGCTCAGGATGAGCGGCCATCTGCTTCAACCGGCTGGGTTTGAGAGGAACAGGAAGGAGGAACGAACACAGAATGACAGGTCCAGGTGTACTTTCTATTGGAGGAAAGACAAAAAAACACATGTTAAGATGGATGTAATTACAAATATCAACAGGTAAAGTAAGTAAAGACAGCAGCAGAGAGAGGAAATGTGGTCTTAAAGTGCTTCTTAGATATATTTATGTGAATTTTATATTTTGATGTAACCCATTTTTTATTCACCTCCAGTGTCAAATCATGGATGAACAACTCGGTAGTAAAAGAACAAAGCTCTGGTTAGCTGGCTTTGACTGAGGCTCTTTCTGTTTTCTGGCCAAACATCACCTAAACAAGCATAACATGATCTATAACTCTCAATATTTTAAAATTGGTTCTAATTTATTAAATTCAACACCACAATGCAGAAAACATTTAACAGTGTGATCATTTATATACACCCTTGTATTGTTTTTCATTTGTAATACTCGCAGAAGGAAAAATGCAAATGAAGTTTAAAAGGAAAGTATTTTTCAGCCTGACATGGTTCCTGTGGTTTATTGTTTTAAAGACAGTTTAACTAAAACATCTTAATGCAACAAAAAATGGATATTCAACAAGAAAACTTGTAGCTTAGCTTCATGGTTGCTAACAGCTGCGCTAAATAAACAAGCCCCACCCCACTTGCTGTTTTCATAGATTCTTGTGGGTGGACAAAGCTCAAAACCATGATATTGATTTCCTCCCCCAATCAGTATCGACGACTGCCGAAATTTCCATATTGGTCGGGCTCTTATTTTCATCCATAGTGCAGCACAAAACACTGGAGCAGCTTTATTTAGTTCTTTTTCTTCTATTTCTGTCACAATTTTTTGAATCACTCCTCTAACAAATTTAGCATACCGGTAATTTGTCCAAAAATGTATAAACGTGAGTGGTTAAATTGAGAATGGTGGGGTGTGATTTTTGGTAATAGAAGGTTTTAAATGATTGAATAAATTAAAGATATATATATAATTTTTTTTTTTTTTTTTCCCCAGTAGAAACATCATAAATTTTTTTTTTTACAGTAATTAAACAGAAAGTTTGACTTGTCTGAACTGACATTTAGATATTGTTTAAAGAGTTTTTGCACAGTTACAGTAAAAGGGGCTGCGGTAGCTTGGCGGTCAGTGCCGAGGCTTTGTAATCCTAAGGTTGTGGGTTCGAGGCCAGTTTGTGTCAGGAAGGGCATTCAGCATCATTTTTTATTTTTATTTGCCAGATCGTTCATGCGAGTTCACTCACTGTGGTGACCCCTGAAGAAGGAAGCAGTCGAAAGACTCTTACACAATTGCAGTAAATGTTTTGTTGGGTTTTACTAATAAATATTCAATTAGGATCAATGTCACACCAGCTTTTGTGCTGTTTAAACTTTAAAATATTTGTTAACAAATTTTTTATTCCCACTATCCCTACACTACCTACTGCCGTACACCATACTTTTCACTGTACATGTTGCAATGCTCTATAAGTCACATCAGTCCAAATGGAAAAAACCCCATAAATAAATAAAAACATAAATGCGTCGCTTCGCAGCGTAAGTCGCGTTTATTATGCGTCACTGCTGGCCACCTGGAAATGTGGGCCGATGTTGTGGCAAAAATCGATTGGCTGCCAAATGGTGGCTGCGGAAGCATGCACGTGAGGACTTTAACAAGAATTTACCAAGATAACCACCTAAAAATAATTATTTGTTTGCTTGAAATTATAGTGTGTCTCAGTTGAACTTTTCCTTAATAGATGCACTTTAATGGTCAAATCAGCTGCATTTCGCCTGGACAACGCGGCGAAATGCAGCTGATTTGACGTCTGCGCCTGGAGTTCTGGAGCGAGAGGAAGGTGGCTTGGTATGGCAAGCCAAATGTCTCATTAATAGCCACTTTTGCCTTTTAATGAGACACTTGGCTTGCCATATTACTCAAGCGCACACTAGTGGCTGAAAATGGTAGTGTTCAATATATTCCATGTCAGAATGAATGGAATCATCAGATCTCAGCCAAAAATTGGGTTATAAATATGGGGGGGGGGATGTATATTAGACGCTTTGGTGTATAAGTCACAGGACTTGCAAATTTATGTAAAAGGGTGCGACTTATACAGCGAAAAATACAGTACATCAAAACTTTGGCATATAGATTATTAAATACATAAGTCCCAAATCACTACTGGGCTTTAGAGAAGAGAAAGTGATGTATGCTGGGATTTTGGGGTAGTAATCTTTTAAAATGTAAAATTTCTTCAGAAATGTTACGATCGCTCTTCTCTGTTTTGCTGCAGTTGTCCCCCAGAGAGAAGGCGGCCACCAACTACAGTCAGAAGCTGAAGGAGAAGTTCCGGCATCACCCACAAATCAGGCGCATTTCTCATCACCGACATCTACCCAAGAGCATTTTCAACGAGAGGAACGAGCTGAGGGTCATGAGGGAGGCTCGCCGGCGAAAGTGCGTATTCAGCTTTTCTCATTTACTCCCTGGAAAAATAAAAAAGAGATTTCCTCATGGTGATTTGGGCTCCTGCCAGGAACAATCTGACCTGAGCAGTCACACCAGCCTAATGGAAAATTTCACAGATGGGGCCGGCCACTATGACGTGGTCTCAGTGGGCATTACATACTCATTTACAGCTTGTGTGGTGGATTGATTGTCCCAGTTTGCCCTGGCCCTGAATCAGAGCTTGTCTGTGCCTCTTATTTTCTAATTAGTGACAGAAGGATGATACCTCACACATAGGAAAGAGCTGCGGAGGATTTAAAATCTCTGCGTTATGCATTGTTTTTCAAACGCATTAGCTCAGTCTGACGTAGCTGATAGGTCAGCAGTCTCACATTCAGTCCGTTCCTCCGTCTTCTTTGTTTACTTTGCTGTCTCTTCCTCTTCGCTCTCTCCTTTTCCGATTATTCTCGACAGCAGTTTGAGTTACTCACACGTTTTCCTGTTTGTAATTGTGTTTTCCAGGGAGATGAATGTCCGTAAACACAGCAAGCCAGGAGCAGTCCCTGTGGTGTCTGAGAGGGAGAAAAACGTTGTAGCTGTGGTGAAATAAAGCAGAAGTTAATCCAAGACATGGAGATAATGATCACAACTGCGTCAAGAAATGTTCTTACTTTGTCCTGAGGACTCAAAAGAAGAGGCTTTGTCCAGCATTGTTTGAAATACAGCTGCACATTCACAGTAAATAGAGACAGAAAACCATATTGGCCTGATGTTGCTTAGATTAAAGACAAGCTACTTTTTCACATCCTGTTTTGAATTTGGTGTTCTTCAGGGTTCTTGCTCACTGAAGTACATCATTTCCCTGCTTGTCTTTATTTTCTGTCCACAGGTATGAACACTTGTAGCCACTTGTTTTATGGTGGCAGCTCCAGAAATGTATTGTTAGTACCTTGTTTAATAAAAAGATGCAATTAAAATCTTAACTACGACCCATCCGAGTCGTCTGATATAAACAATCCTCAACTGTGTCAGTGTGGAAATGGATCATTTCTCTTAGAAGAGTCAACTGCTGGAGAAAAAAAAAAGCAGAACCTAAGATGAGCCTTGTAAACAATTAAATATCACAAATAAGAGTGACTTATTGCCATAACCTGTTTGGGTTTTCCCCTTCATATTTAAAATGAATACATTTACTGTGAGAAGCATCACTTGTAGGTTTGGATGGATGTTTTGTCATTTCCCAGTGACTATTTTCACTGAAACCTTGAAACCATCTTTCTAGTAAAACAAATATCTTGAAGCCAATACAAGCTGTTATTTATGTAAAACCTATAGCTTCAGTAGCATTTAATAACTTCAGGCAGGAATTTTATTTATGTCAAAAACATTAATGAACTGTGGAACTTTAAAGGTTTTAGGAGGTAACGTCTGCTTTGTTGGTAGGTCTGCTTGTACAAGCTGCTCTTGGCTCATCAATACCACCTACTGTACAAAACTGATGACAGATTTATAAAATACAGAGGTGCGAATCTTTAGGCATGTCATGCTTTGTTTAAATTATGATTCGGAGGGTTGCAACATGAGTACGTTAATACATTTGATCATTATTTTGATTCTTATGGAAGTGTTTTCATCTGATGAGTGCGTAACACGTCAACAAATAGCTGCTAACCATCAGTTAGCACTGATTCTAATGCTGCGTTTCATTTAACTTGTTAGTTGGAACCCAACATTTTTCAGTCAAGTACTGGACAGTTTCTTTTTTTGTGCTGAAACGTTTCGTCTTCGGTCCAGAACGCTTCATCAGTCAAGGAAACACACAACAAAACTGATTCTTCCCCCAACAGCTTACTCCAAAGTGGAACAAACCAGTTATGTTGGTGCTAAGATGGTCTCTTCGTCACGCCCCCTCCATTGCCGGCCCCCTTCCTTGTTGACATCAACCAAATAGTTGGACTGATGAAGCAAAACGTTTCAGCACAAAAAATGAAACTGTCCAGATGACCTGACTGAAAAATGTTGGATTGTGTACCTGGATTATTGAGCATGGACTTTGTTGTTAGTTGGAACTTGGATATGAGAATAAGATTTGTCTTTACTGTGTTCTAGTTTCAACTTAGAAAACCAGCTGGATCTGCTGAAACCACTAACAGTGGTTGTAAAAGTATGGTATACAGTATGTGTGACTGGATTACTGAGAATATTTTGAGGTCAAGGCTAATCAAAAAGTTGGAATTACAACTTTGGGTGGTGTTTCTGTGTATTTTCACAACTTGGAATTTCCACTTTTAAGAACAAATGCAACACCAGACCTAAGAGATAAAGTGCCATGAAAAGATAATCTGATTACCATATTTATCACTGGACATTTGCATAGAAATCAAAGGTTTCAAAGGAATTACTAATGGCAGCCATTTTAACTTCAGTTATTATTTACAGAAATAATTTATCCAGGGTTCAGTGAAGAAAAGATGTAAAAACAACTTCCTGCAAAATGTTTTCAATACAGGATTGCTGCAAGGTTGCCAGATAGGAAATGACAAAATGTTGTTTTATCACTTTAAAATTACTGTATTTTGACCTCTAAAAAACTATTGTTTGTCACACAGACCTCAAACAAATACTAATAATACAAATAATTCTCATACATCTGGCACCATCGCTCTGGAACAAACTGCAGTAATTACTGACTCAAAGTGACAGCACAGATTAACATAACTTTTGATTTTGAATTTTCTATTTCTCTGATGCGATGCATTCAAACATTTGTCATTCCCCACCCTTAATGAAATATTGTCTGCATGAGCTGCTATAAAACTTTGGAGACTGGGGGGATATATAGTAATCTGCTTTGGTACAACTGAGTTTGGACTAGCCATCAGCAACACCTTGTTTTCTTCAAATGCAGGCCATTAAGTAGTCATCTGCAACAGGTAAGATATTAACTATTTGTAACATTTAAAAAGAACACCACTTCTAAACTGCAAACATGTATCATTCTTAGTTTCTCTCTGACTTTGATTAACCAATAATAAAAATCCTGTTTATATGACATCAAATAAAAATAGTAGTCAATCCGACTGTTTTTAAACTAAAAGTGTCTCTTAAGTGAAACATTGTTCCACAGCGAGATGAATCAACACGTTTGGTTGTTTTAGCGTCACTTTCACGCAACACAATTTGTTCCAGCACGTGCACCAAACGCGTGGAAACTTTATAAAGGCACTGAGCAGAACCGCCACCACACCTGCAGCTCCACCAGTCCTCACCATCTGGTTGGTTATTAAATATGTATGCTGCCCCCACTGTTTTCTTTCCTTGACTGTTCTGCTGACCGACCGTTTTACGCATTTGTATTTTTATTATTATTATTACGTTTAGCATTACGCATGCTCAGTGGTCTAGAAATATTTATGCTTACTTCCGGTTTTCTTTTACAACTAATCGACTCTTATTTTGTCGTTTTCGTATTTTTGTTACTAACACGGGTCATTTGCGTCCTTATCCGACGAAAATATATTCTTAAATCGGATTTCTCATCTTTGTGCTAATTTTTACCAACGGTTATGCGTCCATAGATACCGGATGTAGCTATGAATGTAGCTTGGCACAAAGCGTCTGAATTCACGCATGCGCACTTGCGTCACCGCGTCCTGAACAGCAACCTACGTATACCTATCGCTCCGCCTCCTTTTTCGTCACTGGACTTTTTTGGCTCCTCCATCTCTCTTTCTTTCTCTCTGTCATCTCTCCCTCTCTCTCTGTCATTACATCCATTTTTTTTTTGTGCATTTAAGAAATCTCCAAGAATTCCCAACCTGGAGGAAGGCGAGCTAAACAGAGTGACAGAGGGGGAGGCACAACCAGGACGGAGCGGGCATCTTTTCTTTTTACTCCAACATGCGAGAGAGAGCTCTCTAAAGGATGGCAGCGATGGGTTAGACAGGATTTAACATGACTGAAAAATAAAAGGCAAGAGTTCTTCATTTAATCCACTAAGATGTATATTTACAATCAGGATGGGTAGATGTCTGCTGTGTTAGTCTGGAACAGCTTAAATATTATAGTGGCTCTGCTGGAGCCAGCGGCTGCAGTGTTATATGTTTATAACCTCAGCATGAGCTGTAACAGCTGCAGGATGAACCCACTGATTAAAACGGCGACTGTTCCTGCAGTAATATGATGCCGCTATGGAGCTGTCACTGAAATGTGTTACTCAAGACAGAGTTTTTACATTTATGTATGTACATCAAATAATAGATTCCCCACTTTTCTGCTTGTTAAACAACAATGTCTCCTTGTTTTTTTTATTTTTAAATGCAGCCTCTGTGTGTAAGATGTCGGCTCCACACGGGCCCCGGGGCGGCCCTGCTGCGGCCGCTGCTCCCTCGGCGGCCGGCGCCATGCCGGAGCTGCCGGACCTCAGCCACTTCACCGAGGAGGAGAGGAAAATCATCCTCGGTGTCATGGAGCGACAGAAGAAGGAGGAAGCCAAGGAGCAGTCCATGTTAAAGTAAGGACAGCAGAAGATCATAACGGGCTGTGTTGTTGTGTTAGCTAGAGACAGTTTCTGTCTCCCATTGAGGACCCGGTGGGTCATGGAGCTTGGACCAACAGCTGCTGGGAGCAAATTGACTGTCTCTCCTCACTTAGCTATGTATTATTAATGATATTATTATTAACAAGACGAGACCAAAGTCTTCCCCCTCCGCAAGTTGTTGTGACTAGCTTGTACCAGTGGGCTGGGTTAGCAGCGACGGCCGCCATTTTCACGTAAAAGGCACGCCAAACTGCTTAACCTTTCCCCACGCGCGTCACCGACATTACACAATACGACCCTGGAAAGATTATTTAAGGTGTCCTGGTGGCTCGCACGGCGCGCGCGTGTGATTTTCAACGTTCAAGTGTCGGCACAGCCTGTCCCTCACGCTGACACCCGCCCTCCTTTCCCCGCTCCTCTTCTGTACAGATGTCGCTCGGAGCTGTTTCAGCACCACGCGTCGCTGTCCACTGGAAGCTCGCGCTTTTAAGGTGGACCGGCAGAGTTCACGCCAGTACCGCTTTAACGTTTACTCTGGCAGCTACGGATCTGGAATATTACACTCAGATCAACTCAGTTTGACTTTGTACGAATATATTTATTTGGCGCGTTAGATTTAGATTAAGAACTTATTTGAACTCCCGATGAAAACAAAGTTAATGAGGAGGTGGAGAGATTTTAAGGTGGTGACCTTAAATGTCTATGTCCTGTTGATGTTCTTGTAGTTTTTTTTTTTTCCCCTATTCATGAAAGAGTGCACGTGCTGGTTTGCTCACAACCCAGAAACTAATGCATCTGGCTCCCTTTAATATACTTTTTAATTTATTTTAGAAGCTAATTTAATTATTCCCCCATAACATGTGTTTTTTGTTGGTTGTTGCAACTAAACATATACAATTAACTAAAATATAAGGGATTTCTTCTATACTATCACTGAAAGAGATGCTTTCTAGCCCAGGCGCTGCTGGAGAGCAAGTTGTGCAATCCCTGCCTCGTGCAGCTGCATGATAAACATGACTCATGTACTCTAAGACACAGCTACCTCAGCTGCTGCAGTAGACATGATGTGTGATTCACCCAGGCCTTCTTCTCTTTCCTCCCCCCTCTCCTTCTTTTTTCCTCCATCCCCAAAACAGCATAATTTATTCCATTTTTTTGTTGGCTTTTGAGGTAAAGGGGATTGTCTGTTTTAGTCACGCTTTGTCCAGCAGTGATGTCAAAAACCATGCTGCATTGGATTAAAGGCAGGCGAGATTGGTATTACCAAACGATATGGCTTTTTAGCAATATGGATAACAAGATAAATGGGTTTAGGGAGATCCAAATGTCTTGGGTGTCACTTGGATCATGTTTTAAATACAAATTTGTTATGACGAGGTGTTGGGATTTAAACACAAGACTATTCTTCAGCTCCAAAGTAGTGTTTCTTTTAAAAGCACAATCACTATATTAGCTTAATGTGCCCTGTCTTTGCATAATGGTGACGCATCGTGAGTCATCTACACAGTAAATCCCCACTTTCTTTCTTTACCTATGAATCACACGAGCATAACATATACCGAAGCGGCATTAATATGCTCAGTCTTGCGGTTGGTACAACGGCATGGGATCAAGTTGTCATTGGGGGGGTTTGCAGTGTTTTCAGCAGTGTCAGAAACAAAACGCCCACGCCGCATCATGCAACCTCATACTACAGCTCACGCAGTCCAGTCCCACTGTGGCGTTTCTGAAATGTGTCAGTTTGAAAGTTGACATGTTTAGTCCAACAGAGGGAATCTTGGGAGGGATGGAGCAGAGAAGGAGAGAGGGGCCTCCAGCTGCAAGGCTTGCCAACAGGCTGTCATCTCACAGGAGGTGCTACAGAGAGCGTGGATGGAAATCCAGCACTGCTGACTCGCATGTAATGAGCTATGCTCTCTCTGAGTCTGCTCATTCTAGCTGCAGTGTGTGTGTGTGTGTGTGTGTGTGCATGGAGAAAATTAGTTGCATGAATAGAAAGCGGATTATCTCAAGTCCATCAGATGGTTTGCTACATACCTACATGTAAAAACTGTGTATGAAGCTGTAAACCAGCAGCAGCTGTTTTAAATACAGTCCATCATGTGTAACATTTCTAGCAACAATTAATCACAGCTCCTGGTGGTTTTGCTCCATTCCAAGATGTTTTCTTGGCTTTGCCTGGTTTCACTCCTTGAGACTTTGTCAATAATAGCCCTCCCAACGTGCACACCCACGCTCTGTGGATCCTTTAGACTGGCAGCAGCTGTCTGTGATGGGGGACCCACAGAACGCCTGCAGCTCCACTACTCCTTTCTTCATCATTCTACGTTTCTCCAGGGCTACAGTGGTCCTTATTAATATCTCCAACTTTGTATATCATCTTTTCTCCCACCTTTGTCATGTATCACACCTGTGGTGTTTTCTGTTTCCTACTTTACTGTTAACTGTGTTACTGGAATATTATATGAACGTACACCCCCATAACGTCAAACTATGGACAGGAAGTTTAGAACTAAGAAATATAAGTTAGGAATATGAATTTTATCCTGACATTTGCAAAAGCAGGAATATTGAATTTCCTTAAAAAGACTATATAACTTCTAACTAAGTATCCTAGTTCTTATTTCATTTGAGGACAGTTTTGATCTCAGAAATTTAGGAGCCTGTGTCATGCTGAATGACCTCTAATGAAAGAGTTAATTGTCACGGTTTGTCGATGTCCGACCTAAGAATGCAGACCAACTCTAAGAACATGAACGAAAGTGAAAAAGTTTATTAAAAATAAACACAATACAAATCACAGTTGTGGAAGCAGAAATACAATGAAACTCAAGGTGTCAAAGAAAATCTCCCAGGAAGCACCATGCTGGACTGCTGAATGAGGGCAAATCAGAGTTTAGATGGACTGAAGGTGATGGATGAGTAGAGTGGAGACAGCTGGGCAAAATGACAACAGGGAACAGGTGTGAGTGTGAGGGGCAGGGCTAAGCATCAGAGGTTGACTGTAGAAAAGTACTTACTGAGTTAAAGAGAGTGATGGCACAAAGGAAATGATTTGAATACGAAGGAAAAAACAATCAAATGAAAACACAAGGATCAATATCAAGGTTCAAGTTTCTTTGTTGTCATTCGCATCACATGTGGTACATGAGGTGGAACAAAACTGTGTACTCAAGGATATATGCTATACAATTAGATATACGCTAAACAAGTCAAGTCAACTTTATTTATGAAACACATTTTCATATGTTTAAGCAACAAACAACATATTTCTTGTGTGAATCTCATTTCTTCATTCAGCTGCACACTATAAAAAATAACTTGTAGGTTATAGTGTTATATTGTTTTTGTGGGTAAACATCTTGAGAATCATGGTTTTCCATCTAGACACAGTTAATATACATTGGAATGTTTTTTTTTCACCACAAGGTAATTGGAATTTATTTGGTACCTATATTGAATAGTTAATCTCAAAATATAATGAGCCAAGTGGTGAAAGAGTTACATTTTTGAGATGGTGTAGAGGCAGGTCAGCCGGCTCGGGACCTGAAAGTCCCAGGTTCGATCCCCAGTCATTGCACATCTCATGGTGTCTCTGAGCAGGACTCCTTATCCTCATTTGCTCCCCAAGCGCTTTCAATAGCTGCTCACTGCTCCACCTGTTGGTGGATGGGTTAAATGTAAAGAGCCAATTTTGCCATTGTATGGGAACATGCAATGATGATCATTATTATTATTATTATTATTATGATTATTATTATTATTATTATTATTATTATTATATATGTTTAAAACAGAAGCTGTTTCCAAAGTGCTTATAATATAAAACCATAATAACATAGTATAATAAGTTGTATTAAAAATCAGCCTGAACATGAGTCTGTTGAGAGCAGATGGGTATGAATACAGCAGCTTATAAGTAAGAAATCAGCAGCACAGATAAAGTGTCAAATCTCTAATTAAAGTGGCATTACAGTGATTTTCTGGTTAGAGATTCATGAGTCTAACAGCTTCAGGGTAGAAGCTGTTCCTCAGTCTAGTGGTTCTACATTTAATGCTCCTTAACCTCCTGCCTGAGGGGAGCGGGGCAAAAAGTGTGTGTGCTGGGTGAGTGTGGTCCTTCATGATGCAGGTGGCCCTCTTCCTGCATCTGGAGGTGTAGATGTTTGTGATGGTGGGGAGACTGACTCCGACAGACTTCTGTGCAGCCTTCACCACTCTCTGTAAAGCTTTTCTTTCTGCAGCTGTGCAGCCTCCACGCCACACATTGATGCTGGAGCACAGGATGCTCTCCACTGCACACCTGTAGAAGGAGGTGAGGACTGAGCTTCCCAGACCAGCTCACCTCAGCCGCCTGAGGAAGTAGAGTCTCTGATGAGCTTTCTTGATCAGGCTGGTGGAGTTGTTGCTCCAGCTGAGGTTGTCTTTCATGTGTACACCCAAGTACTTGTAGCTGGAGACCACTTCCACCACAGATCCTCTTATGGTCCGGGGGGGGGGGGGGGGGTTGTAGGTGTGTTTGTCCCGTCTGAAATGAACATCTCCTTTGTCTTCGTCACAGTGATGTATGTCATTATGATGCAAGTGTTAAAAACATAAAATGAATTAAACAAAATCACAAACTACAAGGAGGAGACAAACTGGGAACATTAATAGTCTGACTCAAGGCCAGTAGGTCGAAGCCATCTTGGCCACTTTTGTTTTTAAGAACTAAGGCAAGAAGCATTGTTGCCTTCTTTGTATTTAACCACTTAGGATAAGCAGCAGAAAATAGATGAACCAGTTTCAATTATCAGATTGCCCCTGACTCTGAATATTTGTCCTTCTAGTTACTGGCTGCAGGGTGGACCATTGGTTAGTGCTATCTTGCTGCATGAAGGTCTTAGGTTCAACTCCCATCTTGGCCTTTCTGTGTCTTCACTAACACTGCTGTATTACATAGTTAATGGATAAATGTGACTCTCAGTCTGTTT